TGTGCTGATCCAAAAGTCCGATTTCCTTTAGAATTCACTGTTTTCATCATAACAATTACAGAACGACGACTTTTTCTCGGCTGTCAGCAAATTATTGTAGGTTACCTTAATATTTGCATATTTTAGTAAATACTAAGTGAGCGAATCTACAGTGCATCTGTTACAGTTAACCTCTCCTTAAAGAATACCAAACTGATAGTGTTCTAGCTCTAAGGATATTGTTGCAGTTACCACAGCATCAAAAGTTGTCTCAAATTGTCAGAAAACCTCAAAATGACCCTCACCAAAATAACAACGACAGTTCTGTGCTGTTTAGGGCACAAAAAACTGCGGAGTACATAGCACGAATCTGCATCAATAGGAACCAATCGCTCGAATCGAAAGTAAGACTCAGCCCGTGCGAACAGACTCTCACCGTTGTCATTTGACAGCGACACTGCTAAAAATTCGTGAATACAACTCATCCGATCACAGGAGCCAGATGCTATGAAATAAAACGCCCGAACAGTTATGCTTGTGATGACATGAGTGTGGCGTCTTGAAATCATCATGGCGCAATGCTTGTGTTCAGCTTGACCGGTGCCGCCCTGGAAAAAGGCGTAGTTTTTATTTCATTGGCTGGATGTACTCTAACTTCACAAATGCAAGCGAATACGGGTCACCATAAGGCTACGGAAGATCCAAGCATTTTGAAAGTATTATGGGCGCTGAATTGGTTGAGGTAACTTTTCAATCAAGATGGTGAGGAATGCATAGGCTTGTAGTACACACAATTACTCCGCGAACAAATGAATAAGCCCGGGAAAGTAAAACTTCAAACTGATCACACCAGTCTACTTATGAATAACCCGAAGAGCTGGTCACCACAACATTTACTGATGTGCATCTACAGAGCGCGAGATTATTTGAAAATGTGTTTGGTACATTTGACCACCATTTACGGGGCACGAACACTTTCGGTTCCAGAAAAACTTACTGCTGGTTTGAGATCACCAAATCGCTTGGAACAAACTTTCATCATATGTATTAAGTAATGTGGGCCGAGGAATATTGCTGCAGAGTAATATTGCTTGTTTACGTTTCACAGGGATCATCACCAGTTCGAATCTCTAGGGAAATTTAAACCCACAACATCCCGGTTTTGCAGCCAGAGAGAGTAAATATTTCGGCCCAGAGAGGCTGGTCGACAGTGTGGTTAGCTTGTACTTAGACAACAATTAGCGCTACTCGTCCTTCGTTAAACGGGTTCGCATCACGTGGTCAGGTGTTTACTGATTATTTGGGTGACGATTTCTGAGATCAAAGTTTCATTTGCCGTAAGATTTATTATTTCTCCTGAACTATCCATATTCTGGTGGTAGTGGAAGAAGCTTTTGAGGATACCATCTCACTGAAGATGAGCGGACCGGTGACCAGTCCGGAAAAAACCAAACCGAAATAACAGGGTTGTAACTTTCTCAAGCACGAACAACAAGATATTAAAATGTCTTCCATTCTTTTATTTTATCTTTTTTCTCTCGGCCACGTAATAGATTGAACCCAACATTCGAAATTGCTGATGCAATAGAGAAATTTCCAAAGCAAACTGTAAAACTCTTGCGAACTAGTTACGTTTCAAACGGATCTGCAATAAAAAGCTCCTATGAAGCAGATTTATAGGGGCTATTTTTGTTGGCCAAGCGCAACTTAAATAGAAAACAGCTTATTTTTAATTATAAGTTTATGAAGATTGTAACCCTGATTGAGACTTTTCACTTGCACATGTAAAGATAATGCAATTTAGCACTCGTTCAAGGCCAACTGATTCAAAGATCTCCAAATGTCTGCCAGCCTTATCGTCCGTCATCAAACTACGGCTTTTGCCAGACTTACCACCTTTCAAACTGTTTGATATAAAAAGGAGAACAAGCTTCACCAATGTGACACCCAATCATCCGGAACCATTCATGATCGAGTAGAATTCGCCTACCAAAGCCTACCACTCAGCCCACCCCAGGCAGTCTTGAATTTCTGCTGTTACGTACTAATTTTTCGGACTGAATTGAAAGTAAACTTAGCTTTATGGGTACAAACATTATTGACTGTACTGAATCGACCGGATATGGGAACCAAAAAGACTGGCATGACTTGATAGTTATTATGAGACGCGTGACCATTTCTAAAAATTGTTGTTCATTGTTGTTATCTGGCGACGGTGTCATTAACGCATGTTGTACGTTAGCGACTGATGACAGATAAGAGTAACCAGAACCGTTTGTCAGTCATATATTTTCAAAACTGTGATCAGATAACTAAAATGTACTCAAATATCCTAAAAGGTAGAGCTGACTTTCTCTTGAGAAACACTACTAATCGGGCAAATTTTTACGAAACGCTGAAACCTACGGGAGGATTCTTGTAAGAGATGAAACACAAATGAGCGCGTGAACAGTTGGCGCATCACTACTAGCGTGTATGTTTTAGGGATATTTTTAACCATGGCACTGACCAAAACGTCCGAATAATAAAGCTTGTCCACCTCAAAAAAGACCGTAAGCTTTCATTAGGAAAAAGATGCTTGAGCGGCCTCTCGGGTAAAGTCAACTACAAGCCATGGTCTGTTACTGGAAGGTTTCTCCATTGCATGTCAACCCAGGTTGATAAACATTTTGTGTACAAATGTGAACACATTCACTTCACTTTGATAACATGCTTCCAATGTCCAAATTTTGACAAATCGAACAAACACGAGGTTGTTGCACGGAAAGTCGGGGAAATAAAGCATTAATGAGAGAAGTATAGCACAGAATTTCAGAACATGATGGAAAAAAGGTCGAGTGTTTTTCTCTGGGCCACGATCAAGAAGTGGGCCTGTTTAAAAAAATAAGGAAGAACCCACTATGGGGCACTTGATTATACTTGTCGCATGATTCAACTTGACAGCAAAGTGATAACTGGCTTTGAGAGTGATGCAGACACTCTTTGAGATTACATTTCAGCTTTACAAGTGCTACCTTGATTTCAGAATGTAAAAATAATCCTTAGTAGATTGCTAACATTATGTAACAGGACAACGGTGAAATCACTGTCAATGATGTACCAGTTTGAGTTTCCCAAAAGAAGTAAAACAAATGCTTTGCCACTAAGGGTACGAGATTCCTGTGAAAATAGTTGAGAACAGAATCCTTGAGTTCACCTAAGTACCTGCATCAAGTGAAGCTTAGCCAAAAGATGTTAAGCCAGTCAGACCGCACAGTCGTGATTGGGGACAATAAAAAGCAACATGTAATGAGATGTACAGCTGTGACGATCTAGACTCTTTTAATTTGAAGCCTGAGATTCACTCACCGTCCGAAATATGGAGGCAATATCCCAAAACAAACTGTGAAAAGACGGAATACATAGCATTTGAGGGTTGATCAGTTATACCATATTTTTGATTGACTGTAAAAGAGAAATTTATCGAAAGTGGACATTTGAAATGTACTGGACGGATGGAAACAAGTGGAAACACGTTGGCATCTCATAGCGGGACTCGTAACTTGGGGAAAAGCCCTGTTCAAATCTCATGGCATTGCCTCTTAAATAGACATAAAAAATGATGCTGTTTTCACTGCATTTGTGGAGATCAGATAAAAACGTGTAGACAAACTCCCCGGAGCTTCATCTTTGCAGAGTCCCCTGATAACCACTGATAAAAGAATCGTAATCCCCTCAAAGAGGAACAATCATCTATTGGTGCTTTGTGTTATGTAATACTTACTGAAGTTTTCACTCCGTAATCTTTTTCGGTTCAACCAAACTTTTGCATGGGTCCAGTTGAATGATGAAAATTATTCTAAATTTATTTTCACTTACTTTCATTCGATATGATATTACTTACTGAGTTTTCTGTGATACCCACTGTTTTCAGCATGACTGGATAAACCTATCTTAAGATTTTTTCCGGTGTGGTTATATACCTGAAAACCGAAGTGGGTGTTGTTGATAAACCGTTAACCAGATTTTCAGCTACGCATTTTGTCTATGAACGGACACTCAGGTGATTGGCTGCTGATCAGCCTCTAAACCAACATGGTAACTGTCTTGCCGGTTCTCTTTACCAGTCGAGTGGATACCACAAGCATAAGATAGGATCTAAAAACAATCCCAAATAACTTGCAAACGAATGCTTGTCTTCACATATGTGTGCCGAAATTAGGCAACAGTTAATAGACCTAATTTCATCTGAGTGGAAAACAGGAATCAACTTCATATGTGAAATCACTCGCTGCTTGAATCATGCAAAAATGCAGAAACTACACCTAACTGGAAAACGGAGAGGATGAAGCGTCATAATCAACGAGTATTTTGAATATATGATTCTTTCCTATACTTAGCAACGAAAATAAGTGCATGTTGACGCAGAAGAAAACAGGTGAATCTTTGAGAATATTAAAGTTTTTGATGCTTCTCTCTTGCAGCTGACAAATCTTTGGGATGTGTGGAGAAATTAGGAGGAACGCAAGCAACATGGTTTAATAACAAGACCTCCATGATGTTTATGTTGATGCCATCGTGTTTAAAATCTGTGGCTAAGCCGCTTATTAGTTTGTTATGTTCCCAGATCTAAAATATGAGCAGCATGTAAAACTGTTCTATCTTCGTGCAGAAAATAATCCAATAGATTCAAGAAAATCCAGACCAAGGCGAAATTTGAATGTCCCGAGTTTTTTTTGTACGGTTTTTGTCGACTTATTTAGGCCACAGATGTGCGAGGTTGGATATGCAATATTTACACTTAACTCGTGTGTTATTACTAATCCTACATGAAACAAGACTCTCTTGAAGAGGTCTGAGATTTTGAGCCATGTCCCTCAACCATTGCAACAAATATGACTGAATCCGAGTCAGGTATTTCACTTTGTATAATTCATAGATTAAGCTAATTTAGTGAAAATGGTCATATGGGCGGGAAACGTGATTTCTCCATCACGCCTTCTTTGTACCGGTGTACATCAGATAAAACACTTTGCGCTTACATTTAGGTTCCTCTTGGTCCTGTAATTGTTGCGCACTATCCAAGTTCTCAGACAATGGGGGTTGCAACGTCTGCTCAATACAGTATATCCACTGTTCTCCCTGTGATTCTTTCCTTATGGCGGACAGAACGTCAAAATGGAGTACAACATTGATGAATTCCTGTCGATTAGAGGCATTAATCGAGCTCAGTTTGTAGCAACCGCTCCGCACCAACCCATGCGTCACATTGAAAGACAAAATTTGTTCTAGTAATTTCTGTGTGTAAGGTCTAGGCGGGGGAGAGTAGGCATGTGCTGATGTCGACGTCATGGGAAATTTTTGTGAGCTTTGTATAACACGCAAGAATGTGGACTAGTTTTGGAATATTTCACGGATGCGGCAGTATAAGTGTGCCTTGTGGCGCGAATAGGATTTCTTGTTGATTTCGACCAATCAAAATTGTCAGAAAATGTACGATGGCTGCCGGTCAACTACCGGGCTTCATGAACAGACAAGTATGTTTGTTTGTGAATCACACACCACCACTTCCAAATGCTGACCTTAAGATGCGTCAGAGTGCTTTTAAGGGTGTATCGATCGGTCCCCAGGCAACTGTAGTTATCGGTGTGCATGTATATGTTGGCGCAAGTACATCGTTATCTATCCAGCCTACCGCCGGCCAGATTGGGTAAACAAACAGTTAGATAGGACAGCAAAGAAACAGGTGCTTTCAAGTGAGATATTGTGCCGCCCTCGAAAGCAGAATTGGTTAACCACAATTGGCAGAGCATTGTCGAATCGCCGGACGTGTTTTCAGTCATGAACTTTAATCACTCCGTGTTCAGTTTATTTGTAGCTATTGTCATCGTTTGCTAATTTGCAGTGGTAGAATGTGACCAAATTAGTCATCTAACAAAATGAACCATACACAAATCTTGATAAGATGGACGCCGACCCGGGAGCTGGTTCCCGTCGTCTCTGTTGCAATATAAGCTAAAGAAGAAACCATTAGGTTCAAATTTCAAATTCAGTTACTATCCACTCCGACGGTATTTTTCCCGCCTACTTTATGAAGACGGGAAATACGGGGTATCAAATTTTGATCTTTTTCCAAACATCTGGGATTGCAAGACCCAAAAATATTTCTTGGTGCATGCCAGCATGAGGTGACATGATGCCTATGTGTTTACTGGTTTTAACGAGTCGCTTTTTGTCAAACGCTTTGTAAACGCTGCAGGGGTTGATGATAGTATGCAGATAAAAGGGGAAATTCAACAAAAATCTCGTTTAATAAAATCAAGAAGTGTTGAAAAGCTGGGGAGGATTGTACAGCCGTTTTATCTAGATGCATCACACTACCCATCAGATTGCCAAAAACAATTCGGCACCCGATGAGCGGTTTTGCACTTCCTGAGGCTTCTCAGGTAAATGCAGTTCCAGAGTTCCCTCATCCTGGTGTTTTAATTAAGGTGGACCATTATAAACGGGAGGCTCAGCTGGATTTTGCTGAGTTTTCTGTTAAAATCAAATTCGTCTTCAAATGGAAGTATTTATCATTATTATCTCATTATCACTATCATCTAAACTAAAATCACCTCCGCCTCCAGTACAATAGTTTTGATTTCGCTGAGCAGCAAAAATCATTTGATCTGATAATCTGCACCTGTGTCTCGTATTTTGGCCATTCATAAGCAGTGTTGGCGCGAATATTCAGATTGGATGAACTGGATTATCATACGATATCAGAGCCGATCGATCGATATTGGAAAAACGAGTATGCACACAATCACCGTGGGAAATTCTTTGCCAACCTTCATAAAAACAATCATCAAGCTTTAGACCAATGAATTTGGCTAAATCCAAACATAATGTGCAAAATGCTGCACGGATTTTCCCCTTCTTGGATTTATTTTGCTTCAGCTCTTTTCCACTCGAAACACCAAAGTTTCGAGTAGAATTCTGTCAAAACATTCGTCCATTCGAATCCAGCACGCTGTCCAGAATCTTCTTGATATCAGGTTGCGTGCTGAATGACTGTTGGGAGTTATTAAGGCGAATTTCAAACTTGCGCCTCGCATGTAAATAGAACGCATCACTAATTGAGTGTTCGGTTGTGAAAATCAACTGTGTAGTTTTTATTTGTTTAAACCGTCGAGGGATCGAGCGCCACGAATAGAAATTATGGGAGGTGATATTTTGTAACCTGTTTCATGGTGGGTTTCCGGTACCATGCCATCAGTGATTTAAGAACATTGGGTTCACTCTGGTTAGACAACTGTCCCTTAAATTCAAGATTTCACGAGGTCAACAAAACACGACGTTTCATTACTTCTTTGCGTGAAAGAATGAGACTGGTCATCAAAGGTGAGTGATATCTGCTAAAATGTTCAATGCTTCTTACTGAACGAGAGCAAAGTGAAACCAATAACATGGTGAACGGGAAATCGAGCCTGCGGGAAATCGAGCCTATGGAAATTAGTAGAACGGTCCACATGTTTGGCTTGCCTAATGAGCAACTGCACCCGAAATGAGGGTACCATCAGCCGTGTTTGTAAAGACATCTTGGAGCTGTCGAACAATCGTGGGACAGAACGTACGGACGTTGAGTCTAGCCCCAGGAGTTAAATTTGTTACGCATTACCACAGCACGTTTTTGAAATCAAATGCGCACTTGTGATCACATGACTTGCGTACATCTGGGAGAGCATGGGACGTGCTCGCAGGCGGTTAGGTGGAATGTTCCATAAAAACTTAGCCGACCTAATGAATAGGGTACGCGGGAAAAAGCTTCTAATTCTCTAATAAACAGGATAATAAGGAATCTTGTCCATTAGGGATAAAAATGCTAAACCTCGAGTCATCATGATCCCTTAATTAGGTTGCAAGATGCAAAAGGAACAATATACTCCTGGAATAAGCTTTTTACGCTCTCCTCTACCATTAGGAAAAGTCAATGGAACAAAATTGACAGACGAAGAAATCACCTTTCAGAACGAAATTCCCAAATATGTCTCAAAAACGAAAGTTGGCGAGAGGTCCCATGGCCTCGTCTCATTATTTTCAGATCCGCATTACTTCCTTGGATTGGAAAACCAATGAAATTATAAATTTTGGTGAGATTTCGGTCGAATTCCCAATTTGCAAGCTGCTGGGTGATTGCAAGGATATTTCCTGCGTCCTTCGGACTGCAAATCTGTCACCCTTAGAGCCAATTAACACTGGACCAATTGACGTGAAATGTTTGATTAAATAAACGTAGCGTCATACCCTGTTTACCAGCGTGTTAATAATACTACTAAAGAACCAGTTGTTGCGGAGTTTGTCCGGTACCTACGGTTTTAATTCTTTCACGAATATTCGTAAAGTACGTGATGTTGAGCGTTAACAACAAGAATAAAACAGGCTTGTTGTTACAGGCGAATTGCAGTTGTCATAAAATTTGCGAGTGCATTTTGCCTGACGTCCTTGAAGTGATTTAATTATACTTCGTATTCACGTCAACCGATGCGACCAGCTTAGATGTACCGGTTAAGTTACCAGTGGTCACACTCCCACGTAGTTTGGCTTATCGATTGCTTGCAGAGTGGCATGTCCTCATCAGTTCTTGGTGCCGTGTCGTGTATTGGCGGACAAATGAGTAGGCGAAACTAGATGATTCGATGGAAGAACCTCGTTCCTCAGGTTAGTGTTGAGCATTAGACAGCACGGCATTACATGTTCTCCTTGTGACATCCGTTAGCCGAGGTTAGTGTGAATATTTACTAACCTCTTTTATGCGGAGCTGTTGCTTGGTTCTAGATAATTTCCCACCATGCTTTTTATTACAGCATGACTCTCTTTAAGTGTCCTTTTTCCAAATGGGATGTTGCACTGAGGTACGGTTTTGTGTCTTGTGTGTAATCGGTGTAGATTCTGCGAGCCCGGTTAGCCAGACAAATGTTTGGGTTCTGTCTGATCCACTAAAGCATTCCTTCGGCTTGCTGGTCTGTGAAGCCTATCTTCTTGTTTTCAAATGCACAGAAACAAATTGCCAATTTTCTCCCGAGTATTTAAAGGCAATTTAAGCGCGTGTGAATGTGCAGAACCATGCGCGATAAAAATATAATCAACCCGATGTTTACAGAAGAAAAACTGTGGAATCGTCTGCGCCAGTTGACTCCAAGATTCGCTCCTGGATATATCTCCTACAACTAATTCTTTAGGAGACATTACTATTACCCAATTATCTATGAATGAGTGAGCTCAACTCCTTTGTTAATCGTCAAATGTGAGGGCAGCTCTCTGGAGTTCGCTGAAAGCGTGAACTGGAAAGACTGGTTTTGCTTACTAACTCGTCGCTATACTTAACTGTTTCGAGCAAGGAGAGCAAGGAGGAGAGATAACAGGGAAGCTCATTTTCTTGCCCATCAAATAGATATTCTAGTCAACAAAGTAAAACACCCGGACTGTGGTTGCATGGGATTCTGAAAAAATAAATTCCACTGGTCCTCAAAGCGGGAGATGGATGCGATGTGGAAGAATTTCTTGGGTTAATTTTAGGCCTCAAAGTGCAACAAGCGTATGGACCCCATCGTACATCCGAGATATGGGCATAATTTTCACTCTGGGCATTTGTGTAGTTTTTGTGAATGAACCATCGCTCCTTGGTCGCCTCAGGCAGTTATTTAGACGAGGTTCTAATTTTTCACAAATTTCCCTTCACACTGGAAAATTTATTTTCATCGGAGTAACTTAAGTTGTTTTGCCTCCATTCATGCAAGTCAATTTGATTTTCTCGCTTACATAGCCTGGCGGGTCACCCATAGTTGTCCTGAAATAAATTCCTACAATATGAACTCTCCAGAGTCGTTTGGCCATATGAAAGCTATCCAACTAACAGATGAATCGGTAAGTCACTGGTTAGCAAAAAAGACAGACTAGCCAAACCGCAGGGTTTTCCGCTGTTGTTTGGAAGACCTGACTGTAATGAAGGGTCGACAGACAACTTTGGCTTCATCCAGGATGTGAGCAATGTTAAAATTTGACCCAAGGTATCGTGCACAATCGAGGTTTTAGAGGGGAGAGTGTAGGTGAAAAAGGTGTTGGAGGAGTGGATAGCCTAAATAACGATAGGTGTCAATGTGGTTCGAGAGATGACAATCTGAGCAAATACAATGTACGAATATGCCCACTGACGTGGCATCACGTCAAGATAGAGACGAATGTCGTTCATTTTTATACTCGAGAACACATGGGTCTTGAATCATGCGTTTTGGGCGGTTTTGTATGATAAAACTATCATATTCGCGCATTCTCGATTATTCAGAAAATGTCTAACAGAAATCAATAAT